TCGTTTAAGCATATCCCACATACATGTGCTCACGCGGCGATATGTAACCTACGGCCTTATGCCACTTTCAGCTTTCTGTAATAATGCTTAACCCAATGATCATGAGAATAACGTCCCTTTGTGGAGCACGGTAGTCCTCTACGTTATATCAACTAAGAGTCATTCTCTCTCCATTAACTCATCACACGATAGTACGTAACAACATGTCCTCTCATCACTAGCGGCAATGTAGTCCTGATTGCCAGAAATCATCCGGATACCCTATGGTTGTCTCGCAACGCCTAACGCGGAAACATGCAGGAACACCCTGCGAAAACACTTAGCCTGAACACAGTCGTATATACCTGCATGTTGAATCAATGGCTTTGTGGAGCATAGAAATGACAATGAACCACTAGGCTCTGATTTCCATGCCAACTCAGCCTATCTCCAACTGATGAGTCCCACCCAAGACGAAACCGCGGTCTTGGGGTGCCAGTGTTGGGATGAGCAACCCTGTAACGTTTCCATTTTTACGTACGGTCTTTGTGATCGGAATGACCGAGGTCCGCCTCAAGTGAACCGACGTCTCAATAGAGGTTGCTTGTAGCAACCCAACCACCAGCGGATTCTCCAAGCCCAACTTTGCATTCGTTTCCGCTGGACCAAGCGTTGCTCGTGGATCTCAGTGGCATAGTGCTTATGGCGTCCACCATGAGCCACTAGGCTCTGAGTTCCATCCAAACTCAGGCTATCTCGAACTGATGAGTCCCACCCAGGACGAAACCGCGGTCCTAGTGTGCCAGTGTTAGGATGCTCAACATTATACTGTTTCCATTTTACTTACGGTCCTTGTGGTCGGAATGACCGAGCTCCAGCTCAAGTGAACCGAGGTCTCGATAGAGGTTGCTTGTAGCAACCCAACCACACAGCAGATTCTCCAAGTCCAAATTTGAATGACAACCAGTTCAATTATCTACATTTACATAAACAGAAGAGAAACAATTTACCAATCAGCACAATAAATTACGCAAGCGTTCTTTCTCCGCACCTGATCTATTAGGTGCTGGCAGTGCTGAGATATCACGCAGGCTAGTGCCGCTAACACTATTCGCTCCATGAAATACATGCTCCACTCGGTCCTACAGAGTACATCCTCAGGAACTCCTGAAGGACGCCCTAGGTCTCGGAATATCTCTGTCGCTGTAGTTTGCTTCACTATATGCTTTTATGATGCTCCAAATGCTCCAACTTGTGTTCATGATGAAGCATATTAGGAAGAACGCAGGAGGTTACTCAAACGGTACGATTGCTCTTGGCATACGTGTTCCAGATTCGTGTGCGTGGCCGCGTCATCGCAGATTAGGAGGCCGTTTAGGACAAAAGTTGCATCTATGGCATCCAACAGTCCACATAACCGCTGCGCATATCTTTCTTTGTTGAAACTTCCTCTCACGATAGTATACTATTTCAAGCCATCGGTCGTCAGGGCTCCAATAAGATGAAGGTTCCGTACTCTAGTGCTGACCACTTGACACAGCGCACGACTTGCACGCGGTGAACGGCCTCTGATGCGAGCACAAAAGAGATCGCAATTTATTTCATCAATCAACACCGCTCGTCTCCATTCGACCTCCGACTGCACCAATGCCAAGAAATAGGATGTTTAGGAATCCTCAGCAGTGCGCATTCCATCTGGCCCTTGTAGTGCCCGGATCCGTAACTCGACTGTTGTCAGCCCGTGCTTACGACCACTGAGCTGCGCTTGCCGAAAGGAGGAAACAATCGTACAGTGCTTTGCTGAATGTGTGATGACTGTCTGAGTAAGTCTATATGTGATGAATTCCTACTTTTACTCCCTCACTGCTCTTCTGTAAACATCGGGTTTTCGTCGCGTTCTTTTTCTCCTATGTGTCCGCGCATTCCGGAACTGCGTGTAATTTCTTTCTTGTTATCAGCCTCCCGTCCAAGTGTTGTGCTATTGTGTCAACGCTCAACTCAAACATCAACTCAGCTTCCAACCGCAGGTGAAGTGTTTGGAGAGTGACCGTAGGCTCCGAGGATAACCCATCTACCAGGCAAACAATGTGGCTTTCGGGCCAGGGACCTTCGTCGCTCCCCCACCATGCTTTGCTCTTTGTTTGATTGATTCCAGTCTTTGTAACCAACTGAGGCAGGTTTCCGGGTTGACGCTTAGGGTACATGCAAAGTTACTCCCAGTTGTTTCCCTTTTCATAGAATCTTCAGTGTTCTGCTCTTGACCACCGCTGAGTGGCGTGCACGGGTACTTTTTGTGCATTCATAAGTACCTCAAGCTGGAAGTCACCCAGTTGCTTTACA